ACAAGGGAGACCGGTCAGGCTGTGGCAACTACCAGTGGGATCTCGCTGCTGTCCGTAGTTGGCAAGATTATCGCCGGAGTCCTCCTAAAGAGACTTCTTCCTGAGGAAGAAAACTTCCTCCCTGAATCTCAATGTGACTTTACACCATCACGTGGCACCACTGACATTATCTTTGCTGCCCGCCAGATACAGGAAAAGTGTAGATAACAGCGTCGTGACCTGTTGCCTTCATCGACGTAACCAAGGCCTTCGACTCGGTCAACAGGGAAGTCCTCTGGTGGACCCTCAGCCGTTTTGGCTGCCTACCAAAATTCATCCCCATTGTGAGGCAACTCTACGATTACATGAAAGGCAGTGTCCTGCACAATGGCACCCAATCTAAGTTCTTCCCCATCCAAACGGGGGTAAAACAAGGGTGTGTACTGGCGCTAACTGTCTTTTACATTTTCTTGACTGCCTTCCTAAGGTACTCGTGCCAGTGCCAATTTAGCCGGCGGGATGGACATCCAGTACCAGAAGAAGGTTTTTTCAGCATAAGAGTCTCTAGGCAGGCACAAAAGTATCGGCAGCTTCTATTGCTGAACTTCAGTATGCAGATGACCTCACCTTTGTCGCTGACACTGAACACGACCTACAGGAGATCCTGAACTCTTATGCAGATGCGTATGCACACTTCGGCCTTGAGGTGAATATACGTAAGACCCAGATTCTCTTTCAGACTGCCCCTAATTCAGACACACCTCCACCATCCATCCAGCTTAACGGTATTACCCTCTCTAATGTAACCCACTTTTTATTATCACGGATCCCACCTGTCCACCACTGCAGACATCGGATCAGATGCGCATCTCAAGCCTTTGGCAGACTCCGTACCCGTGTCTTCAGCTGTTGGGAGCTGAAATTATTTACAAAGTTGCACGTGTATTGAGCAGTGGTCCCCCCCACCCTGCTATATGGCAGTGAGTCATGGGTCACATGGGCACTTGAAAACTTTCGCCAATGTAGTCTACGTCCTATTCTCCGAGTTTGCTGGGAAGACAAGGGAACAAATGCCAGTATTCTCGATGACACCAACTGTAGGAGCATCGAGGCTACCATTATCCATGAACAACCACGTTGGAATGGCCATGTTACCCGCATGACGACAGTTGACTGCCAAAGCAGCTACTTTACAGTCACCTAACGAATAGTAAACGTAACGCCGGTGGACAACTGAAAAGGTATAAGGATATTCTTAAGGCAAACCTGAAAAAGTGCTAAATCGACCCCCTCACCTGGGAGACGATTACGCCACACCGTAATACTTGGAGGAGCACCACACGAGAAGGTGTCAATACTTTCGAGTTAGCCCGACTGCATACCAAGGCAGACAAGCGCCAACGCTGGAAAGACGCTGCCGCCGCCTCTCCCGCACTAGATGTAGCCTTCCACACATGCAAAATCTGTGAATGACTCTGTCGGTCCCGTATCGGCCTCTCTAGTCACCCTAGAGCTAACCAACGAAGGTGACATCCTTAATAACATATAATTTTATCATAGTTGGATGACCGTCATACTCGATTCAGAGTGACAGGAAAGTACTATTTATGTATGTATGTATGTATGTATGTATGTATGTATGTATGTATGTATGTCTCTCGGGTCACAGTTATAAGTCCTTCAGTGGGCAGGGATTTTTCCCAGGTGTATGAAGTCGTCTGAGGTTCGCTAGAGTAAAATACCTAAGTGCGACCTGACCTAAAAATGTTCATGGAAAACTGTGTAGGATTTTGTTTCTTTAGGGTCCCTTGAGAACGTATGAGAGGCAACTTACCCTTTAATACAGGAGAGAGAGAGAGAGAGAGAGAGAGAGAGAGAGAGAGAGAGAGAGAGAGAGAGAGAGAGAGAGAGAGAGAGAGAGAGAGAGAGAGAGAGAGAGAGAGAGAGAGAGAGAGAGAGAGAGAGAGAGAGAGAGAGAGAGAGAGAGAGAGAGAGAGAGAGAGAGGAAAAGAGAGAGGAGGAAAGAGAGAGAGAGAGAGAGAGGAGAGAGAGAGAGAGAGAGAGAGAGGAAAGAGAGAGAGAGAAAGAGGGTGACAAGCAAGCATAGGCAATGTACACATATATACTCGAGAGAAAAAAAGAAAACTCCACACTTCACACCTGCCATGGGTGTGTTAGAGTGACGGCACACTTTCTCCTGCCGCTGGTGTGTGTTAGGAGGACGGCATATTTTCTCCCACATGGTAAAGTTAGAGGATGGTAGCCATTTTCTCTCCTTGTCATTAGTGTGTTAGAGTGACGGCAGTTAATTCTCTCCCGTCATTAGTGTGTTAGAGTGACGGCACACTTTCCTGCCGCTGGTGTTAGAGTGATTTTATGCACTTCTCTCCTGCCAGTGGCGTGTTAGAGTGACGGTGTACACTTTCTTTTGTTGTATTAGTGTGTTAGAGTGACGGTACACCTTTCTCCTGTCATTAGTGTGTTAGAGTGACGGTACACTTTCTCTTGTCATTAGTGTGTTAGAGTGACGGTACACTTTCTCTTGTCATTAGTGTGTTAGAGTGACGGTACACTTTCTCTTGTCATTAGTGTGTTAGAGTGACGGTACACTTTCCTCCAAGGTCATTAGTGTGTTAGAGTGACGGCAACACCTCTCTCCTGTCATTAGTGTTAGAGGACGGTACACTTCTCCGTCATTAGTGTGTTAGAGTGACGGCATACTCTTTCTCCTGTCATTAAAGTTAGAGTGACGGTACACTTCTCTCCTGTCGCTAGTGCAATAGAGTGATGCATACTTTCTCTCCCGTCATTAGTGTGTTAGAGTGACGTGTGCCACTTTTCTCCTGTCATGCGTATATGGACGGTGCCACTTTCTCCGTCATTAGTGTGTTAGAGTGACGGCACACTTCTTCTCCTGGTCATTAGTGTGTTAGAGTGACGGTATACTTTGTCCTGTCATTAGTGTGTTAGAGTGACGGTACACTTTCTCTTGTCATTAGTGTTAGTGACGGTACACTTTCTCCTGTCATTAGTGTGTTAGAGTGACGGTATACTTTCTCCTGTCATTAGTGTGTTAGAGTGACGGTACACTTTCTCCTGTCATTAGTGTGTTAGAGTGACGGTACACTTTCTCCTGTCATTAGTGTGTTAGAGTGACGGTACACTTTCTCCTGTCATTAGTGTGTTAGAGTGACGGTACACTTTCTCCTGTCATTAGTGTTAGTGACGGTACACTTTCTCCTGTCATTAGTGTTAGTGACGGTACACTTTCTCCTGCCATTAAAGTGTTAGAGTGACGGTACACTCTTGTAGATATGGTCGAGTCTTACTGAACTTTGACGCCATAATGATCACCTTTATGTATGAATCTCTGGATAATCGTCTCTTGCCTTTGCCAATACGCCACACTCTCAAAGAACACCAAGGAGGGATCGATCGTGGGTTCTCAAGTTAAATCAAGCCAAAACGGAAGAACTATCTTACACGTCCCCACTATCTCCGCCAGGGCCACGGTCTGCTGTGTCAATGGCTCGTGGCATGAATATTACTCGACCGTCGAGATGTAAGGATAACCCCATCTGCTTGACGTAAACTAAGGTAGATAAATAATGCTACAAGTAATATTGCTCTTGCTGTGACTTTACTTAATCTAAATACGTTCAATAAATAGTAGAAAAGTGGTTATCTAGTTAAGGTAGAGTCTTAGTGTGAGGTTACTGTCAGATAGCGTCTCAGTGTAAGGTTAATGTTAGGTAGAGGCTGAATGTGAGATAAATGTTAGATAACCTATGTGTCAAGTGAATGTTATTTTTGAGTGTTGTTTATGTCCCCCGTTAAGTGCATTCTTACATCTTTTACGAGAAACATTCAGCACACGAACCTTTAAGAATGTGTGGCTCAGATTCACAAAAACGACAACGCTAGTCACAACACACTTTTTGACGTCATTTATTAACCTCTAGCTTTGCGTAGTGTAGTCACGAAGCAATGTAATCAAGAAGGAGTTTCAGATAGGAACACGATCCCTTGAAAATACACCACAAGTTTCTTTCACTTTTTACGTTAACTTGATAAGAGTTTTCTAATTTTCAGAGTTGGGTGGTTTTGTTACCTCATGTCCGTCTTAAAAGTAAAAAATGGTTTCCAATAATTCACACACACACACATACAGGGATTTAATTTGCTGTCATAATTCAGACTATTGGAAAAATGTTGACGATTTAAGTTGTTGAATTTTTCTTTCGGGTGATATGGGTGAGGGTGGTGCGGATATTGTGTGGCGTGGATTTGATGTTGCCAGGATGGTAGAGAAAGTTTGGAGTGAGAATGGAATACGTGTGAGTGAGTGTGTGTGAGTGGTAGACCGTAGTGGCACAGGGGTGGTAAAGGCTCGGCATCTGCAATATTCACCAGACATTAACATAGCTGCCAGCCATACGATAATAAACAACACTGGCCTTTACCAGGAAAATTATAACGTTACGTGACCTTTCAGGAGGAGATTAAATATTTCAACATACAGTGAGCATGAAAGGGGGTCAAATACTCCATATTTGAGCCGACATGAAAAATATACATGACAAAGAGTGTTGATTTAGTCTCTGGAGAGGAGAGATGAGCAGTACCACAAAATTATATGTTACAATAAGCTTAAAGGAGCAATGTAAGGTTGACTGTAGGCATAAAGGCAAAAATAACACCAATGGGCTGTTGCAGATGGTGTATGGTCCAGGGTGGTGAGGGTAATGTTGAGGTAGGTGACAGATTTAAGGGATATTTCACTTCAACACACAGGAACACGGAGAAAACTACTTCTGTGGGTGTTAAGAGGAAAGAGAAGCAGGAGAAGAAATAATAATAATAATAATAATAATAATAATAATAATAATAATAATAATAATAATAATAATAATAAGAATAAGAATAAGAATAAGAATAAGAATAAGAATAATAAGAAAAGAATGTGACTGGGAGTTCACCTTAGAGTGTGTGTGTGTGTGTGTGTGTGTGTATGGACTCACCTCAATGTGTTGGACTTGGGCGCCGTAATGGCAGTGATTGCGGCCGCACTCCTGGATGAGTGGCACTAACTTCTCCGGCTGGTCGAGTCTCCTTACCGCCTTCTCAACGAAGCCCATCACTCTGTAACACAGGACATGGTTACACACCAGGCCAAGGGGTGACAGGTTGGTGGCACCACGTCGCGGGGGGAGAGACTGAGGTATAAAGCCATGGGAGCTCCTTGCCATGGGAGCTCCTTGCCATGGGAGCTCCTTGCCATGGGAACTCCTTGCCATGGGAGCTTCTTGCCATGGGGTAACAAGGAAAGGAGGGTCGATACTGTAGGAAGCACCACGCTATTGGGTAGCTGAGAGATCTTTATGTGAGGGACGTGTCGGGTTGGTTGGTAGAGGGAGAAGGGAGCGGAAGGTCAAAGACGTGATACATCAGTTTATATATACAGTATATATATACCTGTCCAATCCAATCGGAGCTTAAAATCCACCTTAGTCACAAGGGCTTACAATATATCTACTCGGTCTCCGGCTTACCTCTTAACATGATTAGTGCTGATCCAGAAAACAACTGTCTAAACTACTACAGCCACACACTCAGCCAACCACTGCTAGTAAAGCCACCGTTTATTCAACCAGTCACTATTAAGACTCTTATAGTTATGCCCTCAGTAACAAATTGGTCAAGTTTGTTAAGGATCTATGAGTCACTTTACACTTACTATCAAAACCATTATATCAAATATTGTCACGTAGACAGAAATTACCTTTGCAATAATTATACATTTGCCGTCAAACCATTATCCTGACTGTTTCTGTCTCCTTGTTTCACCCTAACACAACCCACGGTGTATTGCTTCCCTCACTTATCAGATTACTTTATATCAACTCTACTCTAAAATATGTATATAATTATAATATGAATGCAAAAAAAAATAAAGTGATAATCGTGGTTACAGTATCATATGTATTTACTAACATCATGTTACGTGTACTGAGGCCCTCCATTGGCTCAGTCATGTCAACATCTCAAAGGAACAACCAAGCAAAGAGGCTGTAGATGTAAGGCAACAGGAGTTATGACCTCACATGACAGGTGTTACTGCAACTGACGCCAGATTATAGGGGAGGGTGAAAGTTAGGGCAGGTGATCATAGGTCCCGGCTCTGATTCACCGCACACAGGAAATAGATATCAGCAAAGTTGCGGACAAGTTTGCCTTAAAGCAACCCACGTGGATGCTGATATACAGTAAAGGGTTTACACATTGTAATGAAACAACTTTGAAGCCTTATTAATTTTCAAACCAGAATTTCATTCAGTGAATAGATAATTATAACATATCATTCGTGTACATTAGGGTACCTTAGGGTAGACATTCAACATGTGTGCCATTCGTAGCACGGATGAAGTCACAACGGTACTCAGTTTCCCTCCACACATTTTATAACATTTCGGGGATCACGGAGGACACCGCCGCTGTGATGCCCTTTTTGTCCAACACCTTTGTGGACTTCACATAACCCCAGGAAACGGGTTCCTCTCTACCTAAGTGAATTTTAGTAATTTGTGTGTAGAATATAGAACACAAAACACAAGGGACGACAGTTTAGAACGAGGCAATTACTCTCAAAATCACCTTATTCGGCGATCAAGAACCACAACCACGATCATGGAGTTGTGCATAAGACAATCCTTCCTCACCAAGGCAGGATGACAAACGATCTCCAGAAACGAATAGTCAGGTCAGCTGCACTCGTGTACGTCTAGAGCGGTCACCCCTTTGTACCGTACATTTAATTTAGCTCTGTTGTGTATTCTCATAATCGATTGTTGTTGTCATAATTACATTTAACTTCACTGTTCAAACTTCTCCCCGGTCAGGATTTGGATGACATCATTTAAATATGTTATTTGACTTCATTTAATAGTTTGTTTTTTAGTATCAATACTTACGTGTGCTTCGTGTGTGTGTGTGTGTGTGTGTGTGTGTGTGTGTGTGTGTGTGTGTGTGTGTGTGTGTGTGGAGAGAGCAATAGAGTAATGATAATCAACAGTTTATTAAAAGAATATAGCATCCTAAAGGCTGAAAGTATACACTAAACATTGATGATAAAAGTTACATATAGTGAAATTGGGAGGAGGTCACTTGATTGACAAAAGATTTCAGTACGAAAAGATAAGTAATATGGAGTGAATATATTAATTAACTACACATCTGGTAGTGGGGGAACAGATTTCGTAGAGTCTTGTGACTTGATACTGGTAGCAACAAAGTCCTTCCGACGGTTTTGAAGGACTTTGTACACAGGTGCTAAGAGCAGTCCTGGCCAATCCCTCCCTCCGGCTGGTCACAGTCTGCATACATTTATCATCCCCAAAACGCGTCACTGGTAAGTCCCTCAGCTCACAAGGGGTAATGGAGAGAGTTCTTGTTCCTTCTATAATGTAGTTAGGAATTCTTATTTTTCACCTGGAGGAGTTGGGAGTCCTGATTTATCACCTGGAAGTCCTTATTTCTCTCCAGGGGCATTTTGGGACCAGGGTATGTGAGGTCCGTATCGGGTGACTATTGAGTGAAGTTGTAGGCTGATCGTTAATCTTTGCACTATATTACTGGTAGGAGGCTGTTGATAAATCCTGATAGGGGAGACATGGGGAGAGACAGGAGACAACATTCTAGCCTTGGCACCATAGAGACGCCAAATATACTGTATGTCTTCAGTCCATGGAACCTAAGGGCGAAGTGTGTGTGTGTGTGTGTGTGTGTGTGTGTGTGTGTGTGTGTGTGTGTGTGTGTGTGTGTGTGTGTGTGTGTGAAGTGTGAAGGACGTGCAAAAGTTTAGGAGTCTGAAAATGTAATCATTTTTGGTTTCATTAAGTTAGGTAAGATGAATGAAATTTAGAGCTGCTCTTTAGAAACGCTAGCAACCTTGAGTCACTCAGACCAAAATATCTCATCGAGGTGAACAATTCTTACCCACACACCAGCTCCTCCGTTTGTCCTCACATCAGTCATCCAATTAATTATTCACTTTATTCATAGATACTTTGGAGTCTGGTTAAACCTACCACACCTCCCAGGTTGATTCAGGCAGCACGAATTATTACGACAAATATTTTAATGTCTTCAAATGTTTGGCTTTAATTTATTGCAGCGTTTACCAGAGGTTAGCCAATTATACTTGGGAGGTCACGTCAGGGGTTCACAGTTGACACAAAGCTATTTTAAGAACCTGAAGAACCTGTGTGTGTGTGTGTGTGTGTGTGTGTGTGTGTGTGTGTGTGTGTGTGTGTTTGTGTCTCCCCTCCAAAAGAAGCACCTGTGCCAATATTGAATTCCTAATATGATACCTCCAACATATTCGAGTCATTAACTTGCAGCGTATTTTATGAGATATAATGCCCTGGAGTGGGAGTGTATTCATGAATATATATTGAGAGAGAGAGAGAGACCTGTTAAACTCACGCCCAATATGCTTACGACACTTCCTTCTCTCTTTCTCTCTCTGTCGTCTCTCCTCATCTCACTATAGTTCCTTGCTTCCCTGCCTCTTTCCTCATCTGTTCCTCTGTTTGTCGGTCTGTCTCTCTCTCTACCTCACTTCATCTCTCCCCTCTTCCCTTTCATTGTTTCTCTTTAATTTAGCCTCCCCTTCCACACCCCAATTGTCTCTCTGTTTTAATCTCTCCTCCCTTTGACCTCCTATCTCTCTGTCTCTCATTAATCTGTGCTCTTTCAGTCTCTCTCTATCTCACTTTCTCCTCCACCTGCCTCCCTCACTTCCCCATCTCTCCCTCTCTCTGCACCCTGTATGCAAATTTATATAACATGCAATATACCTACCTACATACATACATACATACATACATACATACATATATACATACATACATATATACATACATAAAGTCAATTGTACTAAACGATTACCCCAAGACGGTGATTACAATTAGTTAATTATTACCATTATTATTATCAATATTAATAATAATAATAATAATAATAATAATAATAATAATAATAATAATAGTATCATAGTATCTTTATTACTATTATCATCATCATCATCATCATCATCATCATCATCATCATTATTACAACCATCATTACAACAAACACAGGATGAGTCAAAAGTATTCAGTCCACCAACTTGGCCAAATATCCCCCCCCGTGTGCCAACTTCCTATTGATCTAGTAATGTTTTCTGATCCAAGTGTTTGAAGTATTCTGGATAATTGCTGGAGAAGAGAGAGATGTCCTTGATAGTTCGTTTTATGAGGAAGGAGGTGGTCAGATGAGTGTGTGTGTGTGTGTGTTTTAAGTTACATTATTTTTTCCGCGAGTTTTGCTTGTTTTCGGTAAACTCAGTGAAAAATTCATCTTTTTCAGTCTAATTTCCTTTTATTATAGCTGCAAAATTGGTTACAATGAGAAAAAAATAAATAAACTTGTAATGTTGCCTGAAAAAAAAAAAATGTCGGAAATTTATAGAATAAGTAAAATGAAATACGTTGAATATTTAATTTGATATGAACATATAATGATAAATATAATAATGAGTACACACAGAGGGTTGGAGGATCAGGGAAAGGCAGAGAATGGGATGGATGGATGGATAAAATGGATGGATAAAGAAAGTTACGGCCTTGTGGGTCGTGGTCGCCAACCCCCAGACCTGATGACGCCCCCTTGATTAATTGAAAACAACAAGTGTTAGCTGTTTGCAATAATAAGTCATCATGAATCATCCAAAAATAATGTAAACAACTTTTGATGACTGAAGGAAAAACAAATGAACATGGCCCCTATCAAAAAATCTGCAATGTAAGAATACTAATTTAGTGTCGCACCTGATCTATATTTCACAAAGGGATTAAATTTTTGTTTTTTGAGTTTAATAACAACGTGAATATTAATATAAACATTAAAATAGAACTCACTATGAATGTGTCAGTCTACAGAAGTTTTATCAGGAAATGTTAATATAAATGAGTCTAGTTATTCATATATTGACAACATTTATTCTCTATTTTACTTATCCAATTTTATTAAACAATTTTACTGTCTCCTTTTCTCTTTATTCCGCTTCGTTATCTCTTCTTTCTCCCCCTCGTCTCTCTCTC